ACTCTCTGTTGGTTTGCAGGGCAATTAAGTCTGTTCTGTTATAAAAAAGACAGACGTTCATAATTTACAAGAGATTGTGTCACAAACATTTTAACCATCATTGTGGTGTGTCAGGACCTGCAAAAGTTTGGGAACCACTGACTTACCATTCCAGTACAGAACTGCCTATGATGCACAAATATGCTAAACATGGATGTTTTGCTGCAAGAGCAGCATTTGCAAGAAAAGTTTTTTTCTGTTTCTTATGTTCCAAACTGAACTTATAAATTGTGAATATTTTGTTTCAAATATTTTAAGAATTACTTTGCAAATGCATTGCCCTGCAGCTCTCCTTGCATCTATGTGTGGAGCCTTGTGCCCCAGTCACCTACACAGCTCTTTCTAATACTGGGTGATATGCTGGTCCATTGGAGGAGTGCATGTGTACTTCTGTGCAGTACTTCTTTTTTTAAGGATGGTAACTTCAAAGTAAAAAGTAACAATTAGTAATAGAGAGGCACTATAGTAAGATAACACTATAATGGTATGGCCAAAAAATTAGGGATATTTTTCATATGGCAGAGTTGAAAGTGGTGTAGCTTAATAAACATGGATGTGGTGTAAAGTGTAAAGTTATATTTCCATGGCTTAATTGTAATTCACATTGTAGAATAGGAACATTACTGGAAAAACAAGTCCCTAGTCTAAAAAGCCCTCAGAATAGCTTGTAGAAGACAGAATTGCTAGAGTTTGTCTACATGATAAAGCAGACTGTAAGCCTGAATTCACCCTTATGAGTTTTGCCCTGATGTGTTTTCCATTGAACTCAATGGAATCACAGCACATGTCAATGCGAATTATGCTGCACATCAATGAACATCAGTGTGTGTTGACCAGCGTTGATCTGCGTTATGACATGCCTTGATGTGTAATGTGAAGTGTGAATCCAGGCTAAGAATCTGCTTTTATAAAGGAGTGACTGCAGAAGACCAACAACACATTCTAAGAGACAGATTTACATGTGGATTCAACTGCCCCAGCATTAATGAATTACTTATTAGCAGCCTCCCAAAAAGATTCCTTTCCTCACTAATTAAAGAGATGCCTAAGGCAGCCTCCAACTTAGATAAAGTATGTATGCAGGTAGAGAGCTATCAGTGGTGGTAATCAAAGAGAAATAAATGGATGCAATCAGCCCAGGAATATGGGGATCTTCTCAACAATGTTCAATGCTTGTGAAAGCTAGTAATGAGCTTTTCTGCTAATTAGAGAGTATATGAAATGCTACATTTGGAAGATAAAATGCTGCACTGATCCATAAGTGGGAGAATGATCCTAATTCCATCTAAGTAAATCAGATTGTAAATGTAGTTTAGCTTCAACATTCTTTATTAAAAGAAGACAAATTGTCCATGATTGGATACAACTGTGTATTGCCCGAAAATAATGTGAGAGGCAGGTATGAAGAAAACTGACTCACTGAGCAGTTAATCGCATCCCTTCATTTAAAGCAGAACTTTACCCATAACAGCTTGATAAATAATAATGTTCTTTAGAAAGGAACATACATTCCACAATAATAATTATGCTACCAAAATTAGTGTGTGTGTTGTAAATTGCCTCCAGCATCATTCTTGTTCCTTCATGCCAGGGGCTGCCATTTTGCTGAAGCCCAGAGCCCCTGAGCATCAGTAAATGTTCACGCTGTCAGCAGATCGGCCTCTACATTTTCAAGAGCAACTGAACATGTGCAGAGCAATAGGCACTTATTTTTAATTGTTTACATAGCTATACCTGCAAAGGGACTAGCATGAAGTGATCTAGCAGGACTTAATTTTCTGACTAGAGTTCCACTTTAAGTAATAACGTTGAATTTGCATGGAGCGGTGTTAAGTGGGTGGTTGATTTTGCCTACACAAAACTATTTAGCACATCTTGAAACCTCATTTATCCTATTTATTTAATTAAGAATGGACTCTCGTTATTCTGTGTCTGGCTCCGCCTCATACAAAAGGGCACTATTTGTGAGGTTTTCTGAGGTTTCTGAACATAAGGGATAGACCTTAACTGAAACAACAAGTAAGTACTTAAAAAATCCCCATTAATAAAGTGGGGTAATTTGCCACATATAAATTTTCTTCAAGTTTTAAGAATTTCTTAGGAAAATACCAAGGTATGATATTATTCATGAGACTACCCAAAGGAAATCAAATGGACATTTCACTGACTGGGAGAAAGTGATACTGAGTATTTTGTACTTGATGTGATGGCCTGATAATATTGCAAACTGGAAAGCAAAATGGAGATTGACATTATGAGGTTTTTCCAAGAATAGGGTTCCATCAGTAGTTAGTCAGAATTTATGGTGAAACTTTACAACCTCTAATAGCTAAATAACGGGATTATTGTTGATTAGTTGTGCAAGTGGCTCTGTTGCTAGAAAAAATAGTAAAGGAGACAGAGGACATCTCAGATGGGTTCTTTGTCAGCTAAGCAGTAATTCTGAGCAGAAATTACTATAATTTAGAAAAGATGGTGAGGTTTAGAACAAGGCCTTGTCAACAGCAAGATATTGAGCCCTAAGCCCTATCCTCTGAGTATATAGAATAAAGAGATCCAAGAAAGTATGTGAAATGGTTTGCTAATGTCCACTGAAAGCAACATAGCTGGAACCATGCACTGCCTAGCTATTTCGAAAAGGTGGGTCATCTAATATTTGTCACTGGCTTGATGTCTTTGGCAAAATCTGACTTGGTCTTTAGCAAATAGGATTCCTAAATAAACATATGTTATGTTGTTATTTAGATATTTGGGATGTGGTACCAACTATAGCATAAATACAATCTATATTTTTGATTCCTAAATAAAATCTAGTTGCAAGGATCTAGATTTCGACTTCAATATTTAAAAGTGTGGTAGGTACATAGCTTGACCATAGATCATTGTCTGTTTTAGGTTTGGATATCATGGTGAACACAACTGTCAAAAAGTTCCAACAGAGAGCATGCTTAGGCAATGAAATAAAGCAAAAGGTAGATCTGAAAATGTCTTATAATAAGTGGCTGTGAAGCCATTGGGTCCCTGTTGTTTACTTGTCTTGATTTTTTTAATAACTGTTTGCACTTAGGGTATAGTAATCTGTACCTCTGGAGTTTCAGCAAAAATACTGGCAATGCTTTAGGCGGATCAAGTTCAGAAAAGATCCCAGAAGAGGAAAAATATTGAAATATGTAATTTAAAATTTGTAGGATCTTCACTAAATTGCTAGTCAGAGCTTCTTGATCTAATTTGAACTGAATTGTCTTAGGCTCACTGTCAAATTACGTAGCCAGTTGCCCAGTATGGAGTCAGACTGATTGCGTTTTAAATAATATGTGTATACACCAGCATATTTTTCCTTTTAGGCTGAACAGAGATTAATCATTCTTTTTTCACTTTCGTTAGCTAAATTTCAGTACTCTTGATGTTCAGCTAAATGTTGTTCTAATGAAGAATAGACCTCTGCAAATTGGTCTTCTTTTTCTTGAAAATTAGCTGGATGACACTTCCAATAAAGTGTCACCTTACTGTCTTTCCACTTGGGAAATTCTGAAGCCAGATTTAGTTGATAACTAGTCTATTATATTACTGTGAGCTGTTTAATTGATTGCTGGATTACTCAAGAGCAAATTGTTCAGTCACCTTTCAGCATGCTTCTAAAGGTATAGCTACAAAATGTAGCTACAAAGTTCAGCTGGAAAGCTTTGGTTTGACCACTAGGCACGAATGAACTGTAATGGTAAAGATAGTAATAACAGGTGTAGAAAAGATTTTTTTGTTTTTTTGTGTGAACTTCCTGCCAGTAATCCACTAGTAATCCACTATCCTATACTACACCAACAGCAAGTGATTTTTTTTTTTTTAATTGAAAGTGTTCAGGAATGAGAAAGGAACATCACAGTATTTACACTTAGCCTTGTAGTGCAGGGTGCTGTTTTTAACTTGCGCTTTGACATTTAACTTTCACATCTTTAGAAGAAAAGTAAAATATGCTTTAAAACTAAGCGTTGGGAAGCTATAAAAATAGAAAAATGTAAAATGAAATGCAGCTCTGTAATCAATAATACTTAATTTAATGCATCACCACTCCATTTGACCCAGTATCAGCCTCTTTTAGTCCATGTACAGAAGGACTGGAGTTTGAGAAGAAGCTGTACAAGGAGTCAATCAGTCTAAGTGATGACAAGAAGCATGCTGATAGGATAAAAAAGTGACAGAGATGTACTTGTCATTGTGATGTTGCAGGTCCAGAACAGGGGCGGACTGACAACTCATGGGGCCCCCGGGCAATAGGGGATCTGTGTCCTTGCGAAAACTCAAAAAAGCCTATGAAAAAGGTACCAGGGGCATCTCATGGGGCCCCCTACTGACCCCAGGCCCTCGAGCAGTGCCCGAGTTTCCAAATGGTCAGTCCGCCCCTGGTCCAGAATGATCAGGGCTAAGAGGAAGAGGTTAAATAGTGCTAGCCATTCAGACTGAGCATATCTAGTGGCAGAAAAAAAGTACTGCAGTGGAGTGAATATAAATTTTCCAGGAAAAGCTGTTTTTATTATTGTATCTTTTAAAATAAAATTTGCCTGTAGTTTGGCTTTAACTAGTCTGAAAATATGTTGAAAAGTTAGCAAAATCAGGCAAAATGAAACAACTTGATTTCAGGGAAACTTTATAAACGGTGCGCTAAGAGATGATATTCTTTACCGTATATTTATGTTTAGTCTCTTTTTATTAAGTTTTTCAAATATTGAGGTAGAAAAGAACAATGTCTTTGATGGACCAAAACATAGTCATAAAAGACAAAACATATACATACTCGTATATATAAATGATATACATTAAGGCCAGTAAGACCCACAACATTTTGGTCGAAGCATATAGAAGAAAGATGAAAGACAACAATCCTCATGGCCGGAATTAACAAAATACATACTGGGTACAGTAATATAAACTAGACAGACAGAAAACAACAGGGTTCTCCTCTATAATATAGAGGAGATAAGGTGTTCATATGTAGGTGTCCAGTAGTAAAACCACCTCTGTGTGCAGGATAATGTGACATGGTGGGTCCAAAAATGTGACAACTCATGGGGAAAAGAATATCAAGAGAATAGAGAGAAATAAACAAGAAAGTGGGGAGGAGAGAAAGAAAAAAAAATGGCAGGGGGAAGGGGGGAGGGAAGGGAGCAGAAAAGAGAGGAAAAGAGGAGGAAGGAGAGGGGTAGGGGTAGGGGGAAGGTGAAAAAGGGCCAATGAAGGGCAGTAAAAAGGCATGTCCTCATAATAGGATCCTGGAAGTAAGTATGCATTCAAAGCCTAGTACAAATAAAGGAAGCAATATTAAAAGAATATCGGAAATAAGTCCAGACTGTCCACATAAGGCTGTGAGATTCAGATTTGTCCTCATCTCTTGTAATCATGCTTTTCATAGATTCAGTGTTGTTCATTTCACAAGCCCAGGCAGTCAAAGGTTCAGGTTTAGGAAGTTAAGGCTAACACCAACATCTGGTGATGATGTATCGAGCTGCTGTCAGGAAGTGTCTAATCTTTATCATACATTTAAGTCCTCATGAACACTTGATGTTTTACAGCTGCTGTTTTTGACTTTTTTTTCTACAGCCAGTAAACTCCCCCAGCATGTTATCCTATGTTGTCCATGCACACATAGGCTGTAATCAGTGTTTTTTGGCATGGGCGTTTTTTTGTTGAAAAAAAAAAACAGAACTAGTGGGTTTCTAGAGGTTTTTAGCTGGAAAAATGCTTTTTTTTAACTCCGAAAAACGTAGCAAAATGCGGTAAAACACAGCAAATCGGCATGTTTGATCTGTTTTTGAGCAAAAAAAAAAAAAATTTTTTCATGGTAAAAAAAAAATGCTGAAAAACACCGCTAAACACTAATGCAAAAACGCTAAAAAACCGCTGAAAACTACACAGCTAATACTACCAGCGTTATTAAAACACCCAGTGTGCATGGAGCCTAAAAATTAATTCTGTGCAAATTGTCAAAGCAGATCTAAACTATACAATAAAATATCATATATGTAGGTTTTCACATGTAAATTTAAATCAAATTTCAGACTTTGGGTCAATGACTATCTTCTCAGCTCTGCGACTTCCCAATATTTCACAATACATAACTTGCCTATTATGTCTCCTAGATTTACCCATTTCAAAACATACCAAACTGTTATACAACATATACTCAACTTTTACGCCAGGAAGATGATTCTTCTAATATGGAAAGGATCCTCCTCCCTATCTATTGAAACTTGGAAGAAACTGATTATTGACAATCTGCTATTATATAAACCTTTGATAAAATATTGGGTTGATGGGTTTCAGCTCCACATACATGTTTCTCTGGTTCCAGGATCATGATCACTCCATGTAGCGCATTTATTCTAACAGTTTTCTATTGTGACTGTGTTTTGTGTCCATTATAGGCTTTACTACACCTACAATAACTTGCTGTAAAGAGACATTAGAGACCTATGACTGTTTTGATTGTTATTACGCTTATATAAGTTTATTGATAATACCAATAAACATATCTTAAAAAAAAATAGTATCTGTTGATTCTGCCATGGCGATTTCTATTCAGGGACTTCATGTTATAGGGTGACAACTGCCTCCCAAGTGTGTGTATGTGTTGTCACCCTGTCAAAGGCACTCATAATGGAGACTACAAGAAGCCATTCAAATACACATTCCAGTGCACTATTGTCAGGAAATCCATTCTGAACAATTATGTGAATCAGTCAAAGGAGCACGTGTACATATTGAATGGTGACAAAGTGGCCAGAGATCAGCAGCATTCAGATGCAAAAAGGGCGAAAACAATATATTTTTTAAATAATTGTTTATGATATACATTACTTTAGTAGAGCAAATGTAAGCCAGTTAGGGTTTATATACAGACATGGCAAAAATATTGGCACCCCTACATTTCTGTCAGATAATGCACCACTTCACCTAGAAAATTGTTGCAATAACAAATATTTAGGCATTCTCATGTTTATTTCTTTTGTTTGTACTGGTATGACTCAAAAAAGTGGAGAAACAAAAAACCAAATCTGACACATTCCACGCAAAGCGCCAGAAATGGACTGGACAAAATTATTGGCACTCTCAATTTAATATTTGGTAGCACATCCCTTGGAAAAAATAACTGAAATCAATCACTTCCTGTAACCATCAATGAGTTCCTTACACCTCTCTACTGGAATTCTGGACAACTCTTTTTTCGCCAACTGCTCCAGGTCTCTCAGGTTGGAAGGATTCTTTTTCCCAACTGCTGTTTTGAGATCTCTCCACAGGTGTTCTATGGGATAGAGATATGGACTCGTTGCTTGTCAGTTCAGTACTCCCCAGCACTTTGTCTCAAGCCATTTCTGGATGCTTTTTGTTGTGTGCTTTGGGTCATTGTCCTGTTGTAAAACCCATGACCTCTGACAGAGTCCCAACTTTCTGACACTGGGTCCTACATTGCACCCCAGAATGCTTTGGTAGTCTTTAGATTTTATAATGCCATACACACGATCAAGACATCCAATGCCTAAAGCAGCAAAGCAACTCCAAAACATCAGTGAACCTCCACCATGTTTGACTGTAGGGACTGTATTCTTTTCTTTAAAGGCATCATTGCTTTTTCTGAAAACAGTAGAATAATGGGCTTTACTAAAAATCTGTATTATGTTTCATCTGTCCACAGCACATTCTCCTTAAAGAATTTTGACTTTCTCAGGTAAGTTTTGGCAAACTCCAGTCTGGCTTTTTTATGTTTCTGTGTCAGCAATGGGGTCCTCCTGCGTCTCCTACCATAGTGTCCCTTTTCATTCAGATGACAACGTATAGTGTGAGCTGACATAATTGTACCCTGTGCCTGAAGGTCAGCTTGAATTTGTCTGGAAGTTGACTGAGGTTCTTTAGCCGCCATTTGAACAATCCTTTGTTGCAATCTTTTTGATAAATTTTTCTCTTTTGTCAATGTCCAGGGAGATTAGCCATTTGGCACACAGAGACACAACAGAAAGGCTGAGTCCAATTTCCATCATTTTAACTGGTTGGCAGTGTGATTTCTATATGGTCAGCACCTGTTAAGTGATACAGGTGAGTTTTATTACAAATTACAGGAGCATCACAAGCTTGGAATGCAGTTATTTCTTAAAAATTTTTAGAAGGTGCCAATAAATGTGTCCAGTCCATTTTTGAAGTTTTGCGTGGAATGTGTCAGATTTGGCTTTTTGTTTCTTCACTTTTTTGTTTCATACCAATACAAACAATTGAGAATGCCTAAACATTTGTATTCGCAACACACTTTTCTGGGTGAAGTGGTGCATTATCTGACAGAAGTGCAGGGGTGCCAATATTTTTGGCCATAACTGTACATATATATATATAGTTGGATTGAACATACCTGGGTACTTGCTATCTTTAGCCTGTAGATGCCAACTTTTCACTTAGGTTACCAGAAATCTGAGTTCTGGGCTCAGTTTACTGGCTACCTGATGACTGACAGTGTTACCTCTGTAGAGCAGGAATATGGCTAGATGGTAGGAAAATTGTTCCTTCTCCTCCCTCCAATGGCAGCTTACTATAGGGTGGAGGACTGCAGGGAGTGGGAACATCCGTTGAGAACATACCTCCTTCTCAATTCAGGTTTGGGCTGGGAGTGAGGGTGGGCTGCCCTACTTTCTGTCTTCATCTGTCATCTGAAATATCACAGGACCAGAGCTCGGAACAAGGAGAAGCTGCCTCTTTCCTGGGTGGGTGACACACCATGAAAGGATGTCTCAAGTGGAGGTACATGTTAAAAAAAATGCTCATGACAAAAAATAATTTGTTATGTGCATTTACTCCTAATGAAGTGAATTAAAGTTCATGAAATGCATTGAGAAATGTTATGCACTCTTCCACTCACTGGAACAGTTTATGAGAACATCCATGGAATTAGCTGGCTTGAATACATATATTATCTAAATGATTATCTATGTGATGTTATAATTTCTGTTTAGCATACTGGGACATATAAAATGTTTTTAACAAGTCTCTTTTTTATGGTTTTGTATCAATAAACAGTTAATGTAATTTTAGGTTACTTTGTCATTGTTAGTGATGTGCCTTATTTGAGTCCCATGGACAGTTCAATTAGTACATCTGTTATATTCAGTTACCGTATATATCTGTGTATTAGGGATGAAGGTACATCACCCTGTGTACCAGATCACAATAGTATTACTATATGTATCTAAAGTACTAAAACTTGGATATTTAAACGAGTGTAAATGACAGATGGAGGTAGAAGTGGAATATTCAGAACACAACAAATTACAACATGGAAAGTCCCCAAGTAGGGGTCTAGTGCATATTGTCACTAAAAGGCTTGTTGTTAAAGGAGATACAGGTATATACAGTATATATTTAAGCTTTATCATTGACAGCTTCTTCCATAATAAGCAATCTGTTTAGAGATGGCTTATTTGAGATTAAGAATCAGAGTTCAACTAGCTCTAGGCTCTATAGTGGTTAACAAGCTGAGAGGTCTAAATCACTGAATTTAAAAATGTAGGGTTTAACTCTTTCCTGAAAGTGTAGGGTCAACTATTTGACTTTGTACAAAAGCTCATGCTTCAATGATGTTAAAGGTTTTCCAAAAATTATAGGGTCAATTATAGTTAAAGTATAACTAAAGTCAAAACGTTTTTTTTAAGTTTTTGCAAATAGGGCAGAAGGGTTAGAAAGCTTGTCCGCTTCTATTGCGATCTTTGTCCCCATTAAGGAGAATCACCCTCTCTGTTTGTCCTGTTTACCATTATAATTGGAATTGAAAGTAAAAAAAAAAAAATTAATAGAGGGGACATCTTCCAACACGGACTGTAGTTCTGGTGGCCTGGGGGTTCCCAAGGAATTACCTTTCATTTGCATGGATTTCTTCTCACTTTTTGTTTGGCTATGGGACAGAAAGTGAAGGGAAATCTCCCCAATGGGACACACATGGTGAAAAAAATCTGACAGGTGTTGTTATAACTCTCCCTTACTCTATCCAAAAAAAAGTTTTACCTAT